AATTTCTTAGAATGAAAAAGTGGATTTTCCATTTATTCCCTGGCTAAATCTCCTTAAATCCATTTTTCTTGTGATTCACTCATTCAATTCGAGGGAGGAGAGATGGAGAGGACGACGATGAAAGTAAATGGATCTCGACCTTCTCTAAGTTCTTTGAGATCTTCACTATACGATTCGATCGAAGAAATGGCTCAACGTAAGTCTAGTTAGACACCAGAAAAAACCCATCCAACTTAGTTCAACTAGCTGAAAAGGTATGTTTTTTCTTTCGTGCAGGGGATCTAGAGGTCAGTATTACATCTTGGGCGAAGCTGATGTCGATAATCCTTGAGTTACAAGCTATCAAGGAGCTAGTCAGTCAGAGGAAGGAAGATATACCCAACAAGGGCAAGATATATATGTGTTTTAAGTTTCCTGCTCTGATTCGAATTCGGATGATTGAATCCGACGTTGAGGATCTAGAAGAGCGAGTCTTACTGATGATTACAAACTGGCGAGGTAGCTGCATATCTGGGGACGAGTGACAGTTTCTTTTGCAAAGCATAGCATAAGAAACAAGACAGAGCAAGTGAAAACTTCTACATATCATGATTTTAATGCTTTTCTATCTCAGATTTCAGTTTCTGTGTGGATTTGAAAATGGTTAAATACAAAAACCAATCAAAACATTCCAAATTGTTAGTTAACTTGATTGCAATAATGAGAAGGAAGAAATTTATTACCATGGTGACTACACTGATGTAAAGCTAATCTGTAATTCTTAACCTCTATTCAACAATATCAGAGAGAAAATCTGTGCTGTCTTGTTGCTTCTTCCTCCTACGAGCTTCATCAAGCTTACTAGAATAGGTTCTAACCGCTTCGGTGATGGCTTTTGGCAACCAGAAGCCAGGCCGCTCAAGAAACGGTGCTCGATCAATAACCAATGGCTCTCTCAAGGTTACATCAATCCCTTGATATGTCCACAATGCTAATGTTGCTTCACCTTTAAGACCAAGCGAAAACCAACCAAGACCAGCCACTGAAACGTCGATGCTTTTCACGTCCCAACTACTTCCTGTCACCTGAATCTCCTTCTCTTCCCAGTTTCCCAATTCAGACTCTCTGCTCTCTCCGATTGGTGGCTATTTAAAGAGAAATAAATGGTTTTCCATTACATTCTGATGTTGCGGAAATGAGGAAATACACGAGAAAACAAGCTTTTACTTACCTGCAAGCGTAAACCGGAATGTCCCTTGAATATTTCTTCGGCGTTCTCTGTTTTTCCTAGATGCAATGAAACACTATGCGATGCCCATATCGTTATGTATATCGTTTCAACAGAAGCACGAATGAGGTCTAGCCTGACCAGACCACCAATGTGAACAGACTGTCCTGCCTGCAAATAAAGATTCAGCAGAGTTATCATATACTTCTCTAAACAAGAAATTCTAGTGGAAGCCGTTTACGCCATTGATTCCAGAGAGCCGACAAAAGCTTAGAAAAACTGTTTAGATGTAAGAGAGAGCTTGCCTTGACTCTGTAAGTCCGAGGTTGAAGCTCCTTCCTTATCTCTACCATTTTCCGCTCCTCTGAATTCAATCTCAGGGACATAATGTAGGGATGCAAAAGGCCAGGAGTGTCATACATTTTCGCCTTTGCAGACAATACTCCACTGATTCTCAATATTCCAAGAGTCGTTCCAGGAACTGGAGCTTCCGTGAGCCTTGTGACTTTTGCACCATCTTTCTTGGAGAAGGCGTTAATCAAAGTAGATTTCCCGGCATTTTGGGCTCCAATAACCCACACATTTCCTCTTGGACCAGCCAATTCTTTGATGTAAGCTAATAGATTCTTAATACCAAGATCTTTCCGAGCACTAACCATATACACACCACTGAGCTTAGGAGCTCCTCCAGCCTTGGCGCGGTGGCGCACCCATCGGCCTAATCGAGCTGGTGAAATCTGTGTCGGGAGTAAGTCTACTTTTGTTGCAACAAGCACAAGTTTTGGGAGGTTTCTACTAGCCTTGGGATCATTTTCAGCTTTCTGAAGCGCCTTGAACAAAGAATTGGCTGCTCGTTTGGGAAACGAACCATCAAAGTCGACACAATCAACAACCATGACTACAACCGTAGTACTGGAATTACTACTCATCGGTTTTATCAGTCTAGTTGAGATCATCCTATCGAAATCGAAATCGGGCAAGAGGTTTTCAGCAGCCTGATTCTTCACTTGGCCATAATTCCTCAGAGAATGGCAACGAGCACACACCGTCACATCATCATCATCCTTATCTTTCTTTGCCTCCTCTCTAGCTATCTTCTTCCTCTCTGCTTTCGAAACCCGTTTCTTCTTCTCAATCTCCTCTTTTACATTACCATATCCAACACCAGCCGGTCCAAAACCATCCAATTCAACA